CAAGTCAATGTTTTTTGCACTAGTTCTGGAAAAGTAATCACCAACCACCTGAGCATATCTTTTAAACAATTCATCTATGATTTTTCTTCCAAAATGGACTTCCAGCATTGATTCAACCACAGCCCTAATTGTTTTAGCCACTTGCTGTCCCCTTGAAAAATTATCTTTTTCGATTTTATCAATGTGTTTTTGGAAATTATTATTGCTTGGAGCACCCCCATCCCATTCAATCTCGAAGGCCTCAAGACAATTAATTGTGAACGAACCTTCTTCTTCTACTACAGATCTCACTTCCTGAGCAGATGGAGCATAATAGGGTGCATTGAAAGAATCAATCTTCTCTTCTTCAATGAGACCCTGAAATAACCAATGTTGCGCAAGCATAAGGACTTGCATGCATGCATCCAAACACACATACAAAATGGACCATTCATTTGATCAACTTTTTCTATGAGGAATAGGTGAAATAGAATCAACTTTAATTTGGGATCACTGTTTGAAATTTTAGTAAAAGAACTGCATTTCGTATCTCATATCATCTTTACGTGAAAAAGAAAAAAAAATTATGTTAAGGGATTTCTCAAACAACAAAGGACATGATCAACAATTTAATAACTGATATTGATAATCTTATTTTCCTCTTTTCTCTTGAGAAACAAGTGGACTATTTCTTTGCAAAATTGACCAATTTCATATGTAGCAATTCCACTAAGATATCTTCATTAGTTGGGAAAGAATCTTCATGAATTAGATTCTTTGAGAAACGTATTGAGAGAGAATTTGATTTTGTTATACAATCCATGGTAAGTGATATATATCCACATAATTTTAGGAGTCGCTTCACGCTTTTTGATTTAAAAAAAATGATGAAATGTGTAATTAAAAAGTTGTAAATTTATAAAATGTATGATTAGAATTAATTGTTGAATATGATCTCAAACTTGTGATAGTTTTTTAATATTTTCCAATTAAATAGTTAATGAAAAAGAAGGAAACATAGAAGGGGCTAGAAAA